TAAGACATAACTTCAATTCTAATAGGCTAGAAAACTGTATACCTGTAACTAGCACAATTAGATCCGATTCATGCTTCTCATCATGGATAGGGAACACAACCTCCTCATCCGTTCCATTGTTGGCTTCATCATCGTCACTTATACCACTTGAAAGTTTGTTTAAAAATTTTTCTCAATGGGTTTTGTCTAAAGCATGTATCTCTTCATCACGTTCTTGTTCATATTTCGTAGTAACATAAATTTCTGATTCCTTGTCATCTTCTTCATCCAAGTTGTACTCTTTATCATTTGTTAACACCTCGTTATCAGCCCAATCAAGAATTGGTTCATTTTGTGGTCAATATACACATCCAACTCACTCCCAGGGCTATAAATAGTTTCTACAAACTCCTAATAATAAGCATCATTGTCGATTCTTCTAATATCCTCAGCCAAACTTTCCTTTCTATTATAGTAGTAGGTATTATCATAGTCTCCTTTGGTTAATTTGGTAAGCCACAAAATAAATTCTTAATACGTAAGTCCACCAAAATCCACATCAAGAACAGTTTCTTTTACATGATCCAAGTATACCAACGACTTTAGCGCAAATATCCCCATGTGATGAAAATCTACAGGCGTACACATACTTGTATATCATTAGGATGCCATGTTAAAGTCCCAACTCGAACCTTCAATTGCAAGCCCTAATCTTCGATTTGTTGTATCGATTTCTCCTAAACTGTTAATCGAAATGCTTTTGGAGCAGACGAACCCCAATTAACTGAGAAATGGGTGTAATAGCCATGTATGAATCCATGTTATTCGTTTTAATTGATCTTAATCGATGTAACTGGCTAAAACCTGTGTTAAAACCTGATCTTAATCCATGTTATTCGTTTTAATTGATCTTAATCGATGTAACTGGCTAAAACCTGTGTTTGCCGGTAATAATGGGTATTTGTGAACATATGAAACAAGTTTGTTGGATAAATAAGTACAAAAAACAAATATTGCCATGTGTGAACATACAATATAGTTAGTTATCTTAATAAGTCATTTTCGTTGATCCTACTAATTCTATCATTAGAATCATAAGTAATGGCAACCAATACAAAACATTTTTGATGAAAAAATGAAATTTTATTCAACACTTTTTTATTGGGTACTCATAAAAGCAAACGGAACATGGTGTAATGATGAAATAAATAATAATCAGGCTCTAATACATCTTAAGATAGTTGCTTTAGAAGTGTTCGGGATTAAACTTGCACACATTATATCACCCACTACACTTTGCTATTGCTCCAATATTGCTTCAAGAATTCTTCAACCTACCATTCACGAGTTTTAAATTAACAAAAAGACCAAACAATTGTCTTAAGAATAAAGATGTCCACTTTTAACTCTTGCCGTATCAGTGCAGTTGTTACGATTATTATGTAACATTAAAAGGGGAATGAATGATGTTGCAATCTTCACAAACCTGTCTCCGTGATTCTCTTTTTGTGCTTGTTCTTTAACATATGTCATTAGCCCGCGGTGGATAGTAACTATAACTTGACTTCTGAATTATAGAAACATAAGTAAATCGGTATCCCCTCTCAATCAATGATATCTATTTATTGCATAAAAAACATTAAAAAAATGAAAAGGAGCTGCAGATAATACCTCCTCCTTCTGCTCACCATACTTATAAGCACATTTATAGGCTTTAATTCTCTTTGAATTAAGCTTTTCAAGTTCCCTATCCATACTTCTGATGCTCTTTCTCACAAGTTCCAACTCTGCCTTGAGTCGGGTCGCTTTAGTGGTACGTTCCTTTTGATCCCTCTTTATTTCGTCAATTTGGTTTAAGTAAATCTAATTGTATAAAACATATAGATGAAGTGAGTAGTAATATAATGAAAAATTGAACAAAAAAAGTTCTAATTCAGTTGAGGAATTAAAACTATACTTTAATACGATGCTGCCTCATTTGTTCTTCATAGAGTCGTCTTCTCAATCCTCCAACATCATATCTTCTCCAATTACTACGAGGGTCAGGTTCTGTTGGTGCAGTATATGTTTCTATTGTTTCTTTAAGATTTTTTATTTCGTGAAAGAATTTTTTTTCCTCTCTCCCATTATTGTTTCCATGTTGAATCCTGTGTACAAGGCTTTCCATCTTCCAAATGGAAGTAGAAAGAAATTATATGTCAAAATCAATATAACAATCTAAGGAAGATAAGCAATTTATGTGTATAAATTATAATTTATCAGTATATACCACATCGTTAAGCTCTTGTGTACCATGGGTTGGCCTGTTACCCGATTTCATTGAATAAAGAAGTTCTTCTTGAACCTGTTTCACATATTCCATGTCTATCCTCTCTTTCTTTAGCCGTTTATGGCATCGTTTTCTATCAATACCAATATAAACCTACAAAAAAAATTAAAAAAAAAATTGGCCACGAATCCACAGAAACAGAAAACTTCTCTAAAAAAAGTCCCTTTCATTTTGCTCAAGAATTTTGGGAAAGTCGGGAGGAAAAATGGTCAATGTAATCAACTCTTACAGGAGATTGAGGATCGTTTTCAGTCAAATGCAAAAAACCAGCTGTTCTTGGTATTGGTCTGATTGGTAAATGAGGCTTCACATCATCTACAGTAGCTCGTTCAAGGCACATGAGTGAACTTGATTTCCACTCTAACTCCTTGTAAATCCACATTAATTCGTAGTTTATTTGATGTTCATCTTTCTGTAAGGAAGACGTGTGAGTTGTTTTTCCTAACTCATCCAAAGAAGAGCACGATATTTCTACTGTTGTCACTTTAAAGCAATACCCATCATTTCTTATGAACATTAATTTTAATCAACACTTACCTTTCGTAGATCTATTTGTTGAAGGATATGGTACATAGAAACACTCGTCTGTTGATACAACTTGTGAGCCTCTTCTTTTTTTACTTCCTCAGGGGAAGGACAACTCTTGACCAAATAGAACTGAAGTTCGTTGGTCTTTGTATGTGAGGTCATTTCCGTGACTTTCTCAACGGAATCTGACTTAACAATCAGGCCATATTCCTTTGGGTCTTCCATTTGGCTGAGCATCATCCAATGTTTCCTGAAGATAACAGTGTCAAGTAACATTTTTGCAAAATAGGTACAAACAGATGAAGCAGAATCAGGATAAAAGATATTGTAGATCAAACCGGAGAAGCTTGGTAAAAGTAAGTAATAACGATAAACATTTTTGCCTAGCTACTTGAGATAAGTTTTCTTTCATGAAAAAAGAACACAGGATCATGAAAATGATGTTGGTGTTATGGCATTTCATGTTAGAAGAATAGGTTTTGAAAAGAAAGAAACAACCAACCTCAACTTGAAGGCAATACTTGGTGATCAGAAAGATGAATATTCATAATGCTAAGTACATAGTATTTATAAATTAGGTTGGTTTAGTCGGTAGCACTTGCACCCCACGGCAAGAAAGTCAACTTATGTAAGGTCAATTGCAATCATTTTTATTCGTTCACTAAATTATGATAAACCTATTTGTTTTAATTTCTTCCTGGGTCAAAATGGTTAGCAGCTAGGACCCAAGTTCTTAATCCGATTCTCTAATTAAACATCCGTTTGTAAAAACAAAAGCACCTGCTTATTAAAGGATCATTTATAAGAGTTACTTTGAACCTAACACTTATAATATAGTCTACACGATTTTCAAAACTAAGGCTATGTTTGAAGTATATAGCAAAAAGTTGTCTGTTCCATTTTCAAATTTATTTAGTTTATTTTACCCCATTACTGATTGTTTGTTGAGTCCGCAACTATGGTGTAACATTCGGTTTAAAATAAAATAAGTGAATAAATAAATAATAAGCCCTAAAACCCCGAGATATATTTTATATTTTATTTTATTTTAGCCCTAACTCCATGATAAAGTATCAGTGTTAGCAATAGGAGTTAAAACTTATATTTCTGGATGTTGGGGGTTAAACCGTATCATATGGACTTGTATTGAATAGTTTTTTTGAAAGCAGGGGCTAAAGAGTAAAATAAGGGCTTAGTTTGAAAAGAATGGGGAAGGAGGGACTGAAGTTGTTTAATTGGTCAAAAGTTTGAGTTGAGGGGACGGTGGATTAAACTCACCACCCTTTCCCTTCCCTTCATCTCATTTTGCACCCCTATAAACCCTAACCCTAAATCCTCCAGCCGCCGCCACCCTTATCTCTCCCATCCACAACGTTGCCATCCCCTTCATTGAACCACCATCGCTGCTCCTACTGCCGACGAAGACAAGGGCTTTCGGGAAAGTTGTCTATACGGAAGTGTTGGATTAATGTCTAAGTCAGTAACCATATTTGGTATATACTTGACCCGAGTGTGCATGGTCCTTTTGGGTTGCCTTCACCAAAGCAACTTGACAAGGTAATTTGATATGAGAGAGGAGATATTATGATTTATTAATATATTATAAGAATAATATATTAAAGGAGAAATCATATTTATTTGATTAGTATTAGTCATAAATTAATTAGGAATTAATTTGGTGACTAAAAGAGACAAATTAAATAAAGGGGTATAAACTGTTAATTGTGTGATAGTTGAGTTTTGGGCTAGGAAACCTAATGGACTAAGGGGGAACGAAATTATGATGAAGGATCATCATATTTTCGTCCAAGGCCTCATTCCATAAGGTTTCTTGGGCTGCTTGGTGGCTAAGCTGTCCATTAGGGTTTTGACTGAAACCCTAGCACCCTATAGTATAAATACATACCCTATGCTTCAATTTAAGGCCACTTGATTCCAAGGGAACCCTAGGGCCGAAATTAGCATCATTCCCTTCTCTCTCTTAGTTGCCTTCTTGCTTCAAGGTGTTTGTGAGCCATTAGAGGCACTACAATTGTGGTGCTTGCTTTCAAGAGTTCTAGAGAGTTCAAGAGATCAAGGAAACTAGTTGTTATTGCTATATAACAACAAAGGTATGTTTTCTACACTTCTATGTAAATTTCGAAAATTATAGAAGCATGCTAGGGTTTATTTTGTGTTCATAAAGTTGTATGTCTTATAGTGAAAACATAGATCCAAACTAGGGTTGCATGCACACATAGGATTGTTTGTATAAAACCTAACAGTGGTATCAGAGCCATTGGTTTTTTGTTTTCAATTGGATTTGATGCATATTATGAACTTGACAAATTAGGGTTTATGGCAAGTAAACCCTAAGGCTTGGTGATTTTCGCAAATTAGGGTTGCCAAACCCTAGTTGGCGATTTTTTGATAGGGTTCTTGAAACCTTTTTGCCTAGCCTCCAAATTTCGAAATTAGGGTTATGAAACCCTAGGGATTTCGAAAATCCCTTGTCCCCAAGATAAGATCCCAAGATTTTAGGGATATGGATAATACTATCTTTGTGATTATCAATTTAATTGTTTAAACTAGATAATTGAAGATCTTGTATTATCCTTTCCATATATTTAAAAATAAAAGGATTAAATAAATTAATAGTTTAATTTTATGATAATCCCTAAAGATTTAATATTTCAAATTAATTGTTTGATTTTGATAATTATTAAATCAAAGATTTTTGGTGTTTAAAATTTTAAATTAAATAGCCTTAATTCCGAAAATTTTAAATACACATTAAGATACTAGTATTTTTGAAATGTTTTAAAATACACCCTTATACAATTATGATATTATAAGATTAATTATTATATATGTATAAGAATAAGCTAGTCTTATCGCTAGTAGGCCTCATTCACGAAGCCGGTCTATAAGGTGGGTATAAGGTTGCTGCCTATAAAATGGCGCTTAATGGATGTACACTCACATCTACCGCTTGCTTGACTGGTGGAGGGTCGTTAGCCGAACGGATAGGATAGGGCACTTAATTCCTCATTAAAAGTATAATGGAAATATTAAAGTAACTACATTGTTTTACAAATTCCCACTCTTAGTTACTTTAGGGTAAAATGTGAAAATGATGCTAATCCATGGAATTACACTTCGTACCCTTGTCAAACGTTGATGGAGCGCGTGTGGTTAACCGGCACATCAATTTGGGGATGACATTGGTAGCGAAGGGTGACTCGATGTTTGTCATAGATCAATGGAGCGTGTGTGGTTCACCGGCACATTGATTAGGTGATAAAGACATTGAGTGCACCGCGTTGATTCGCATGGTTATTCACAAATTTGTTTGCGATCCTCGGCATCCCAGTCGCAAATTTGAAATGCATATCGAGATTTAAACATGCCATTGAAAAGTTCAATGAATCTCAAAGATCTAGGAGTTTTCAATACATTTAAAACCTAAATTGCTTTTTCGTTTTTCATGGTGAGAATTAGTGAATCGTCATTCACTTACCTTCAAATTATTTACTTTTAGAGTACGGCATCCCTTTCTAAGTTGTAAATAATGTTGTTGGATCCTAGCCCTAATTACTCATTTGGGTGTTTAATTAGGGATTCATTTCTAATCAAACTTTGTTCCTTTTCAGATGTCAACAAACAACAACAACAACGCTTCTGGGTCATTCTCGTTGATGAACTTGTGTCAGAAAGTGACATTTGATGGTTCAAACTTCACCGAGTGGATGAGGTATATCCGCATGATCACACGCTACGAGGACAAAGAATATGTCCTCGATGAAAAGCTTGAGAAGATCATCCCAGATGTTGCTACTCCTGAGGAATTGGCCGCCTTTGAGGCCCACGAGCGTGATGCCACGAAAGTTCACTGCATCATGCTGGCCACCATGAACCCGAACTCCAAAAGTCCTATGAGGACATGTATCCATATGAAATGCATCAGGATTTGCTGGAAAGGTATCACCAGAGCGCGAGGCAAGAGCGCTATGAGATCATTACTAACATGATCACCGCTAAGATGGGGAGTGGAGAATCCCTAACCTCTCATTTGCAGAAAATGCAGAGGTATGTTGATCGTCTTCTCAAACTTAATGTTAAGTTTGATGAGGATTTGGCTATCGACATAATCCTCCACTCCTTGCCCTCCTGCTACAATCAGTTTAGGATGACCTACCATATGAATAAAGAGGAGGTCTCCTTGAGCAAGCTCCAAGGACTCTTGAGGACTGCTGAGAGCAACCTCAAAGACAAATCCGTTGCACCGTCCCCTGCTGTGGCCGCTCCTGTGATGGCGATAGGTCAAGGAAAGGGTAAAAAGAGGAAGGCTCCATGTAAGAGCCACCATAAGGGGAAACCCCGTGATGGTTCGTCCTCAAGTGGGACCAAAGTAGGCCCCGCTAGACCCTCTTCCGATCCTAAAGAAGCAGAGTGCTTCTATTGCCACCAAAAGGGCCACTGGAAGCGAAGCTGCCCACAATATCTGCAGGACATAAAAGATGGGAAGATCAAGCCCACATTTGCAGGTATGTATTCTATTAAATCTAATAACTCATCATTTGCTACTTCATGGGTTCTTGATACAGGATGTGGTTACCACATTTGTTCTGATTTGCAGGGCCTAAAAAGAAGTAGGGAAATGGAGCATGGGAAGATGAACCTGATTATGGGAAACAGAAGATCATCGCCTGTGACCAAAGTCGGTGTTTATTCTTTAGTGTTGAGAAATGGGTTAGGAATAGATTTAGAGAATTGCTGTTATTCGCCAGATATGGCAAGAAACATTATTTCTTTTCACGGGTTGTTTAGACAAGGTTTCAGATATTCTTTTGATAATAGTAATGGTTCTATTAATGTTTATTTGAATGGTGTCTTTTATTTCAATGCATTACCTTGTAATGGGATTTATGAATCTGTGATGATTGTTGATAATTTCGGAAATAATGTTTTGAATATTGATTCGTCTACTAGTCTAGACAAAGCATGCTTGTGGCACTGTCGCCTTGGCCATGTCAACAAGAAACGCATAGCCCAACTCCAAAAGGATGGAGTGTTGGAGTCATTCGACCTTAGGGACGATGATACGTGTGAATCTTGTTTACTTGGGAAGATGACCAAGTCACCCTTTACTGGCACTTGTGAAAGGGGTGAGGGTTTATTGGATCTCATACACACTGATGTGTGTGGGCCCTTTAGATCCACCACAAGGGATGCTTGCCGCTTCTACGTGACTTTTACAGATGATTATAGCAGATATGGATATATCTACTTGATCAAGCAAAAGTCGGAAACCTTTGAAAAGTTCAAAGAGTTTAAGAGTGAAGTGGAGAATCAGCTGGGCAGGAAAATCAAGATGCTTCGGTCAGACCGAGGAGGAGAGTACCTAAGTCTTGAGTTTCACGACTATCTAAAAGAATGTGGAATCGTTTCGCAATTGACGCCTCCAAGAACGCCACAATTGAACGGTGTGGCTGAGAGACGTAATCGGACCTTGTTGGACATGGTTCGTTCTATGATGAGTCGGACTTCGTTACCAATAGCTTTCTGGGGGTATGCCTTAGAGACTGCCGCCCGTATACTTAACTTAGTTCCCACTAAGAAGGTTTCCAAGACTCCTCACGAGATGTGGACAGGGAAGGCTCCCTCGTTGGCACATATTAAGGTTTGGGGTTGTGAGGCTTTCGTAGACGAGAGACTCACGACAAACTTGAACCTCGTAGTGAGAAGTGTTATTTCATCGGCTATCCACAGAAGTCTTTTGGCTACCTTTTCTATAGACCGAGTGACAATGTTGTCTTCGTTGCTAGAAGAGGAGTTTTCCGAGAAAAGGAATTGATAGGCCAAGAAGACAGTGGGAGGCAAATTGAACTTGAAGAAATTCAAGATCAAAGCGATGAAGGAACCTCTGACACTGGCACTCAACTTGAGGAGGAAACTCCTGTTGAACCTGTTGACGTGTCCTTACCTCTT